TGGGCTGGGGGCCGGGCCGGGCCGGGGGTGCTCAGCCGGGGGCTGGCCCGGGGCCGGCACCCCAGGAGCCGAGCCAGGCTGGAGACGCTGGGGCCGGGGCCGGCCGCCGGAGGGAGCCGCTCGGTTGTGGGGGCCAGACTGGGCCGCGCCTCCTCCCCCCACCCTCCCCAACTTACCTGCTGCCTGCTTCAGGCTTCCCATGAATCAAATGTTCGCGGGAAGCAGGGGAGGGGGCGGAGTTGGGGCGGGGACTTTGGGGAAAGGGGTGGAGTTGGGGCGGGGGGGAGGCACGGGCGGGGCTGGGGCGGGGCCAGGGCCCCGTGGAGTGTCCTCTTTTTGGACACTCAGAATATGGTATCCCTACTTTACTGGACCAAAACAGAATAGAAACACAAATAAGGTGCTTTGAACATTCTTGGTTTTTTTCTTGGTGTTTCTTTTGCTTTTTGGGGTTGTTTTTTTTAAAGACTTGATAGCTATAAGTAAGTCTGCTCTGAAAAGTGATATTTGTATGTTTGTTAATATCGCTTTTCACAGCAGACTTACTCAGCTCTAGCAAGCCCGGGGACAAATTAAGCCCTAGATGGGGAGGTGGGTACAGACGTAGCAGGGGCCAGGGGTGATGGGGCACTGGGGGAGGCAGTGGGGGCCACAGGTGATGGGGGAGTGAGTTTGGGGCCCGAGCCCTCCACCGTGCAGCCAGGGAACAGAGCCCAAAGCCCTACACCCAGAGGACAGGGTCTGGGGGCTGCTGCTTTGCCCCCCCCACAAATCACTGTCTAGGAGGCTGTGGCCACAAGAAAAGCCCCCACAGCGGCCGCATTTGAGCAACACTGCCCCCTATATTCACACCCAACACACTACCGTAATAATCTTTGTACAAAATATGCCTTATGAGGTATCATTTGAAAAACAATAACTCACTAATCATTAATATTCTTGTATGATGTATGCACATGTGTATTAAGAGGTATAGATAGATGCTAGAATTATGATTAAAGTGTGCTTAAACCAGGCCTACTAGGGGAGTTGTTAAACAGGTCTGCCCTAGACAAACAAAGGAATGTGTTTTCTTCTCTGATCAGCAGCCTGGTCATCAGGCAGAGACAATGAAGGTACATTTACATATCAAGTAAACAAAACTGTCAAGTTAACAATTGGTGGAAGAGGCAGCATGTTGTCTATGCCCCAGCAGGAGAGAGAAGCTTGGCCTGGGTTTTTACTTTTCAAAGAATACACTGCAAAGGCGTACTGATCTATAAACACAGGGGGGCTGAGCCTGACATGATAAGTAATTGAATCAACTGACTGTATACAATATTACTGAATTATAAAAATTTATTAAGTGAGGTGTTTTATGAAAGCCTCTGACACTGGTGATTAATATAATTGTGAAATGTATGTATTAATAATATATGGGGAAATATGGATACATAATGATATTATGCTTTGGTCTGTGGCAGGTTCTCTCCCAGATATGAGAGAAGGCAGCTATCTACCTGTCTATTAAGATTAATCAAGGTGTGAGCAAATACAATGGAAACCCCATTTGCATAGAACAGCATGATATCATCCTGCCTCTTGGGGCAAACTCATTGAACTTCAGAAGATATAAGCAAAGCCAGAAGCTATCTTTGGCATCCATCATCAGATAGACACAAGGAGACAGAGCTCTTGCAACCTGAGAAAGATGGTTCTTTCAACCAAGGGAGAGGGGTGTGTGAAGTCTCTGGGAACTGAATATAGGTGAGAAACCTGCTGAGACAAAGATCTTTCACATAGGGAGACAAGGGAAACTAGTGCCTTGTATTTCTGTGGAAGGTCCTGACTGAGGGAAAGTCAGCCATGTCTGGGAAGAGAGAAGACTGGTGGGAGAAACCATCTTGACCAAAGACTGTACCTTGCTAGATTAAATTTTAGACTTTTAGATGCATGTTTTTACTTTTATTTGCTTGTATCTATCTCTACTTTTATTTCTTTTACTTGGCATCACTTAACCTATGTCCTATTTTGAATAAATTTGTTTTATTTTTACTATAAACCAACTCAGTGCGGTGGTTAAAGGGAAGGGTGTATTTACCTTCAGTTAAGGTAATAATCTGTGATGTACTTTCATCTCTTTAAAGGAACAAATAAACGTTATTATTTCACTGAACTGTCCAGGAGTGGGCTGAACATTGTAGAGCACATGGTTTTGGGAAATCTTGGGACTGGGAGTGTGTAGGGGTCATCTTGCAGATTGTAACCAAGACTGGTGAAAGCCAGCGTGGGGCTGTGGGGCTGTAGACGGGTTTCTGGGGTCAGAGCTGCTGAACCAGAGGTATCTAGCATACAGACAGACACTAAGGGTATGACCTGCATGCTTAGAGGCTGGCTGTGAGTATCCCAGGCTGGGAGCTACAGCAGCAAAGCATTGTAAGGCGCCCAGGTTTGCAGGGCATGTGGGACACAATCCCTCACTGGTCTGGATTGCACCCCAAGCTCAGTGACAGGTGCCTAAGCCATCTAACTCCAGGAAACGGGTTCCCATTTGTTGATCACTAAGTAGAGATAGGCACTTTGCTGCAACCTGGATTTAGGAACCTATATCTGAGAGAGGGACAGGGCTTAGTACAGTAACTCCCCACTTAACGTCCTCTTGCTTAACGTCGTTTCGATCTTACGTCCCTGCTCAATTACAGAACATGCTCCGTTTAAAGTTGTGCAATGCTTTGCTATAACGTTGTTTGGCTGCCTGCTTTATCCACAGCTGGCAGCCCCCCTATCAGCTCCCCTATGCCCCCCCACAGCGCCTCCCGCCTGCCGGCAGACCCCGTGGATCAGCACCTTCCCCTTCCTCCCCCCGCCTCCTGCCCACGGCAATCAGCTGGCTTGCGGCATTCAGGAGGGAGGGGGGGAGGAACAAGGGACTCGGCGCGCAGGCTCCGCCTCCCTCCCCTGCCTCCCGAACGCCACAAACCAGCTGATTGCCGCGGGCAGGAGGCAGGGGAGGGAGGC